AATATCCCAAAGCCAACAATCCCTCCCCCCTTAAAACAGTATTAAATCTTCCTTTAAATTTGGAATACCTGTATTTTTATATACAGGTTGAGTTTCCCTTATCCAAAATGCTTGGGACCAGAAGGATTTTGGATTATTATTATTATTATTATTATTATTATTATTATTATTATTATTATTATTATTATTTGGATTTTAGAATATTTTCATATACATAATGAGATACCTTGGGGATGTTTGTTTACATCAGCATTATTTGAGTATAAATTTTGTTTCTGTTTATTTTGACAAGGAATAGTAACAAAGGGTCTTTTGGTTTGTAGAACAAGGAATAGCATTGAAAAGGAAGACATTTTTGGTGTTTGTATTGAGATCTATGGGTAAGTCATGTGTTTGTATAGAAAGTAATTTGGTTTCTTGGTACAGTAATTTGGTTTCTTGGAGATATGGTATTGTACAGATTTAACGAAGAGAATTTGTTTGTTAATAAGGAAAACTGGGACTGAAGACAACAACAAAATGGTACAATAATTCCAGATTTGCTGTCTCTGCATGATCTTTTCCACCTTTCTCCTTTACACATCTGACACCAATGATGTGGAATTTTTCAAGGAATTGCAATATTGTAATATCACAGTATACTCACACACACACACATACAAATTTGGTTTTGGAAATATACATTTGAGTTTGTGAAGTCGTAGGCTTTCATGGCCGGCATCCATAGTTTTTGTGGGTTTTTTTGGGCTGTGTGGCCATGCTCTAGAAGAGTTTCTTTCTGACGTTTCGCCAGCATCTGTGGATGGCATTTTCAGAGAATACTGGAATGGAAGAGAGTGGGTCTATATATACTGTGAGACCCTGGGTAGGGAGGAGTGATTCCCATGTAAACTGTGGATTGTTCTGTGTTGAATAGGTATTGTTCTGTGTTAATGGCATGGCTTCAGGGTATGCAATCAAGGATATTGTCTGCTATTCCTATGTAAACATGGCCACACACCCCGAAAAACCCACAAAAACTATACATTTGAGTTTGCTAGATATATTGCTTATTTTGTCAATATACTAAGAGTTGAGTTGGCATTAATTGGCACTCACTTTTTGTGACATCTTGGAGATGGTCTTTTTAAACAGAGATAAATGGCCATCTCTTGGGAGTTCTTGGATTGTGTATTCTTGCGCAGCAGAATGGGGATGGAATGGATGGCCCTTTTTGGGGTCTCTTCCAACTCTTCTATGGATGTTATCACACGGGGGCAAATCTGCTGGTTAATCCACAC